TAATATGTCATTAGCACATGTCATAGTGTCATGTGTGATTTGTACAATTATATCCTGTCAGAAAAACTGATTCCCCTGCTTTATATATGTTAAAGGAGGAGGAGCCAGTGAATTGCAGATGATTTGGCAAAGTATATTTCGCACTGCAATTATGCACATGTCTGGCAAAAATGGGTGACATGTATAAAGATAATGTTATGGCAAAATAGGTGTCATGGCAGAGGTCTGTCTCATATACATCTTCTGTAACTGGTGGGCATGGAAACCATTAAATAAACAACTTACTGTGAGTGGCCATTGGCCTTGATCTGATTTTAACGTAAATCTTTCTTTTTAATCAAAACAAATGACCATGCTGTCCCAGTTTAAAACAATTAATTAATACAAAAAATATATGTTTCAGAGTGTGCCTGCCGGAGCTAGTACATGTGTGTTAGTCATCTAACTTCTGCACAGCTAACAACAGTTCTGCTCTGAGATCAAACTGGTTCCATACAATGGAGAGACCTTTAACTAAAGATTCAGGATCACAGCACCGACTAAGACTTTTATTTGTTGTGGTAGCATGAGGATTATAGGTGGGTTTTTACAGGACCAGAAACAAATGTACCCAATGTTACAGAAGGGATTTAGGACAGTGATTAGTCTGATCACAACTAAAGCCATGTTTAAGCCGTTTCACATTTGTGCCATACACAAAGGCTCTGATTGTTGAGAAGAACACCAGCCCTGTGTCTGTGCACTTCCTCTGTAACCCACACTGAGAAGTATACTCTACTAGTGACCAGTAAATTCTTATGAATGAATTCTTATGAGACTTATGAATGATCATCATTTTGAGTGACGGGTGTAGGGTCACACAACTACAGAGTGGACCATATTGAAATGTTGGATTATTAGCAGAAAGCACGTTAAGAGTGAGGCACTAATGCCCCAGTTACTCCTTGACCTGTGTGGAGGGTGCAGCAGGGGGTGACACATATTCAGTCCAACACAACACGTGTTCAGACACAGACAAGAGAGAGGTGATGGAGAAGGAGAAATCAGACACAGAGTGCTGGAGATGCTGCTGGCTCACCTGTAGTCATGACTAACCTTCTACATCAGATGAAAAACACACTGCCTTTGTCCTTTACACCAGAACATTTATCCAAGTGAGTTTTTCTTATTGCACTTTTTTTTTTCCAACCGTGGGATAATTCTTCAGTATCTAAAATCTAACCAATACCAATCGGAGCATCATGATTTAACTATAAAATCACTCTAACAGAAAGTGTAAAGAAAAAAAATCCCTTCCAACAGATGTCTTTATCAGTAAAGCCAAGGGGAGAGCAGACACACCGCACAGAGGGGGGAAGGAAACAAGTAGATCATCTCTGACAAATGGGTTATGGGAAAAAAAGACTGCAGCTGATGCCAAATGATATGATAAATTGCTGTTTACAAGTACTTCCTATTGCATCTTTACAGATATAAATCTCTGTCAGAGGGCTCACCTGTGGATTTATTAGAGGCTCTTCTTCTGATCTCTGTCACCATGAGTCGGGAGACCTGCGTGGTGAACTGCAGCAAGTCGGAGAACTTCTCCGTCATGCTGCTGGGTGGCGCGTTACCAAACACCTAAAGCAGACACACCAGCATCATTTTAATCAGAAAAAAACACAGATACAATTCTAAAAAACAGGAAAGAAGAAATGTTAATGTATTTATAACAAGTTTCAGGAGCATACGTCCTGGATAAACCACATTTCACTCAACAACTGTTCATCATGTATTTAATTATCCAACAAATCTGACAAAAAAGTGGCCCTGGAGCCCGACGCCTTGCTGCACACAGAGTACTCAACTTTTGAAATCTGGCATAAATCATGGCACCAGTGAGGTAATCACTGATACGCCAAGAGACCCTTGATAAGGCACTCCAGTCTGAGGAGAACTCTACAGAACAGACAGGTCTATCAGTGCAAACAGGAGAAAGGCTATAAACCCAGAGGTCTTTCACTGGACTGGTGTGAGCCCTGCATTTTCTGTATTCCTGAATAAAAACACACATTGCTCAACACATTTACTTTGCTTTGGTTTGCTCCCTTGAATGACTTTCCATTCATCAAAGCACATCCTATACTAGTTATTTACTGCATGTATTTTATGCTTGTACATTCAGTAGGTTGTCATTTGTCCAAATAACATATCTGTGATTGTCATTAAAACTGGAAATAGTCTACAATCATTGTCAGTTTAGACAAGTACAGATTGTATTCACTGGCTCAAGTGTCTCAATTGTACTAAACTTTATGTGATCAGCAAAAAATGACATTTAGACATTTTTTTAGGCCTCTGAGGAATATTGCTAAGACACTGCTGGGCTAGGTTTATGTGTACATTTTATCACTTATTGACGATGAAGATTACTGGCTCAGGCGTTTGTGTTTTCAATCCTTTTTGATGCACCTTGTGGTTCAAGTATTAAGATGCTGTTGCATCATATTTTGAGTTTAAACTGTGACAAAGTTTAAACAAATCAAAGCACTTTATCCATTACACTTGTGTTGACAGTATGTGGGAGTTCACCACCTTTGTATGACTGCACTCAGCCCACCCACAGACTTTCCTCCACCCGTGATGGGACATACCCTGTTAAATACAGGGAGCATCATGTAGAGCTTCTCCTCCTGCTCCTTCTGGGTCATGTGGCGAGGAGGGTGGCACAGTTCGGAGAAGAGGCGTCGCAGGTGCATTAGACCCAGTGTGTTGTCCTGGGGACTGCACTCCTCCTGCCTCGGCCGCCCCATGATCCTCTTCACCATGTTCATCTTGAGCGGCTTTGTCAGGGCAAAGGCAGCCCTGTGGAGGGGGGAGAAGAGGATGGTTACATGTCTCATAGCATCTCGACACTGCAACATCCTGATGGGCTGGGTATCAAACCGGAATACTTTTCTTTGTTGTTTAGACCATATATTATTTAGGTTAAACTGTTGTATGGGCACTTGCCTTTAGACAACATTTAGCACTTGAGAAGTTTGGCTTCTTTTGGTAAATAAAGAAAATAGGTTTATAAAATAACATACAACATATTTCTCATAACATAAAAATGTTACTTTGGTGACATAACCTGCCTTCTGCCAACTTAAATAATAAACTTTAGTTTTTTGGTTCTAAAATGCTCATTTCAACACACCACAGTGACCTTTCTAGTTCAATTTAACTTGTTACATGTTGGATTTTCTGCCAAACAGCTAATAACTGTTTTTTTAAAACTACGTTCTTAACAGTTGCACAAAAGCTGCAGCACAAAAGTAGCTCATGACTTGGGTTTGGCATCAGACATCAATACTTGTCAGGAGCAGTGAGCAAAGCAACCTGTCAAGTATTGACAGGTGGCGTCGCCGACCCATCTCTGGGGATGGGACAATATATCGAAATTCAATGTACTGCAAAGTATCTCTTTGTCTAGCAATATATGTCGTGTGGTCTCCATACACCAGCAATTTCATATTTTTTGTAAATAAGATCGCCCAACAGAACATACCTGGTTGTTCTTTAATCAAACCAGTTATAGAAAAGGGGGGGGGGGGGAAAAAAATACATTTATT